ACCAGGGGGTGCTGCAGCACCTCAGCACCCCTACTTCCCACGGCCCTGCCCACTCTATGCATTATGTAACATATTTAACAAGCTGTAAATAATTTAAATAATTTAAGCCTACTTATTGGAATAAAGTACATGTATGTTATTATGAAATACATGTTGTGTATATATTTGTATATTTAATAAACACTATCTGGTTCCCTATTGCCTTCTTTGTTACTGCCATGATCACGACAGAAACATCAAGTTTGACTATTTCCTGTTTTACGAAAAACATTGAGAATTAAAGAGAAATACAGATGATGCCTTAATATTGAATGGCACTGTGCTGACCAGAGATACACTAACATTGATAGTTATTGTATTCACTTAAACACTAGCCATGCATGTGAGTTAGAAAAGTATTTCCCACCATTCTCAATCTGAAGACGATAAAACATATGACATTATGTGTGAAATACTATTTAAATTCATCAGACATCACACCTGTCTGCTTCTACTGACAGTGACTCACAGCAGAGTTTATAAAACCACATTTCTTCAGCATATAATAAACTACTTTTTATTTTATTGAATGTACTCAACTTATCTTATCTCTGAAGCTCAGGACAATCCCAGATGAGAACACATAGATATGCTGCTTGATATAAAACAGTTGCTGTTCATCATCTTAAATATGCTTTGTATATAATGAGTATCGGCCCTCCAATTTATATGGCAGTCATTATTTATTCTGTCTGTCAACAGCAACAAAGTCGGCTCTCAGCTGCATTTATTTATGACTTCTTGCCCCAAGTTCTTAATTACATTACATGTTAGTTGTTAGACGCTTTTATCCAAAGCGACTTACATACTCAATACTGTGGGCAATCCCCGCAGGAGCAATTTGGGGTGAAGTGTCTGAGGGACACAACGACTGCAGTGGGGTTTGAACCTGTGACCCCCTGATCCGAACACCGCACTAACCACTGCGCCACAGCCCCCCGCAATTGTTAAGCAATATTGCGTATGGTTTTGTTAATATTCAAATGAAAATAACTTTGTAACATGGTCCTATATAACTTTAGTTTCCAACAATCCCGATTGTAAAATTATACAGTATACAGATATGTATAACAATATGTATACAATACGTATATCCTGGTATATACACAATCAACAGACACATATGCACACATTAAGGTAACAAAACACAACAATCGATATATATACAAAATAACAGTCACTTCAATATCAATATATTTGGTAAACCCATCACAATACAATTCATTGAATTCATCTATCAATTTGCAGTGTTTTAGTATTAATATAGCAGTAGATATGAAGTATTATATTATATATTAAATGTCCACAGTATTGACATTTATATGTGTAATATGTAATTGTAAAGCGCTTTGAGCACCTGTAAAAGCGCTCTAATTTAAAAAATGTAATCCGTTATTATTATTATTATTAGATAATATTGTAATATGAACGTGTTTGTGTTAAACAAAGAAATAGATTGATGGTGACATGTCTTGTTTCCCAGTTAGTTTACTCAATTTCTGAAGTGTTAGTGTAAAAAATAATATTTTCTTTAGTCATCAATCGTGATTGATGATTTCTATCCAAACAGGAATATTATATGAAGTTAAAACACTGCAGCATTATGATCTTGTTTACTAATTTGTACATTCATACACTGTGAAACATGTTCAACATATTTATAAATGTATATCAAATACTGATGAATATTTGAAACAATTCCTGTGCTTTTTGGATGGAAAATCAATACATCATGAGCCTGGTTAACATTATTACTGGACTCTATAGTAATATTTTCTAGTTAATATGTTTATATTAATAATAAACATTTCATGACACGGGTATGGAAAGATAAATGGACTTTGTCAGCATTCATAACTGATGGCATGAATGCATGTGACCCTCAAACAGAAGTGTGCATGTGTACAGATTTATTTAGTATCTTCTCTAAAATGAAGCTCAGCGCAAGTTCTTTCAGGAAGACTGGGTATATATACATTCAGTCCGCAGCTGCATATAATCAGCTCATCACGGGCGTTGTCATTAACCTATTACATTCACATCATTCTCCAGCAGCCAATCACTGTGCTGCAGCCAAACTTTAAAATGGTTCTCCTCTCTCCTGCAGTCAGCTGTGATTTCAGGTGTTCATGCTGCCGCCCGCCTCCCCCCCATCCCTCCTTTCATCACATCCAGAGCCAGGAGAGTTAATCCAAAGACCTCATCACACCTCCTCTTCATCCCATCTCCTCATCAAATCCAGATCTTCAGCATCATCCCCGGTGTCTAGACCCCGGGGGGTTCCCTATATGCTCACAGCTGCATTTCCCCCTTTAGATATACCATTTCAGGATCGGGGTCTAATCGCCAAAGACTTAACATTTATCATATGGCATGTGTCAATAAATGTTCTTTAAACAAAATGAAGTCTCTCCTGATTGAACTGTTGTCAGGTCAGATCTTATATATTATTAGGCTATGATGCTCACACAGGGGAATCATTCATCATAGAGTAAGGACAGACCAGGACAAGGACAGAAGGAGTTCACAGGTTTCTCGGGACAATTTAATTACTTACAAAGGCTTTGTGTTGGATGTGCTCTTGAAAATGATGAATCACTCTCTCTCAACTCTTACATTTTTGTGAAGCAGAACAAATTGATAGAGACAAGGACATTGGATTATTGAATAGAAAACATCAAATGAATAGCTTTGATATGTTCATGATGTTTAGAGGGACATGTTATACACACACATTATAAAATGTCATTTAAAAAAAACAGTCATTAGAAAGTGAACAGAATAAAACATGAAACAAGCAAATAGTCAATAATACAGGTATAGAATACATGAATAAAAGTTACAGTGCAGTGTGAGATGGGAATGGTGCAATTCAATCATAACTTTTCTAAGATGCAAAACAGTGGCTTTTCTCTGCTGTAAAATATTAACTACTTTAACAACTTGGCAGGAGCTGCTCTCAGAGGTCAAAGGTCGTTCTGGTTGAGAGATCTAATAAGTTCAGACTTGTGTTTATCTGGAATCACAAGTCTGACCAATGAGGAATCAAATAAACCTTTTTACTAAGTGTTAGAAATGTGAAAATAAATGTATCATTGCATTTGTATAAAGGACTCAGACTGCAGGCTTAATTGTGTATTCTAATAATCAGTTATGAGCAACATTTATTTAGATAATCGATTGATACATTTCAAGAATACATTTGATTTGTTTGTGGACTGAAATAAAAAGACAACCGAGTTTCTATTGGGCTTCAATCAAAAAAATAACAAGATTTAAACAAGGAGTTTATAAAGTCATCTCATGTCTATTGTGCAACTAAAAAACTAATGTAATCTTTCACATCGTCTCATTGTTTGTCCAAACCAATATAATATATGAGTGCTATGAGAACTCTTCTTTAAACTTTGCATTAAAACACGGGACTACATTTAATATTATAATGAATAAATCACTTTTCTCTGAAGCAGAAGTCTTGAGATTCAGAACAATGTCACTATTGATAGTCATTGTATAGAAAGAGGGGTTTGGTTTGTGTGTCTAACTGTGTTTACATTACTTAACAGACTTGGAAGATAACCAAAGGAGCTCATAAAAACGTACAGAGATATAGCGTGACTCTATTTGTTAAGAACGTATTTTGTATCACATAAAACTTCAGTTTCTGTATTAAACTAGTTGTGAAGTGCTTTCCATCCAAAAGAAACGCTGAAAAGGCAGTTCTTGCTAAAACTTCACGTTTTTTAAAGTGTTTTACACCAAATCAAAGTGTTGTTGTGGTGTTCCTAAAGGTCTTAGTGTGTAAAGTGGAAGTCTGACTGTTTTCAAAGATTCTCAAGTGGTCTTACGTTAAAATGTGTCACCAAATCACAACATTTGCTGCAACAACTAATTACACTTATGAGAGTATGAGGATGGTCATCATGTACTTCTATCATACTATTTTAAACTCTAAACTTTCTCCAGACTAATAATAACTATCCAACCAAATCTAAATATTGTTCACAGATTTATGAATAGAACATTTAACACACATTGTCAAACTGCGTCTTAAACACATTTTCAGGTTCCCAGCTTTCAGGCAACGCAAAACACTTCCATGTGGCATAAACTCTTCACCTGCTATCTCCCACTAAAGGCAAGGCAAGTTTATTTATATAGCACCTTTCAACACAAGGCAATTCAACGTGCTTTATAAAAATGAAAGACATTAAGAGCATTAAAAAACATATTAAGAAATGACATTAAAAAACACTCATTTAAAAGCAAAGATACCTTAAAGTTACAGCAGTGTGAGATACACACATCTGAAATGTTTAGCTCTGACTCAATCATTGCTCACTTTTTAGCAGAAATAGTTTTCTATGACCTCACTTTCTTTCTACTTTCTTGTTTAACTTATCCTTTAGTTATTTCAAGTGTTTCATGCTAAACGAACCCCCCTTTGGAAAATTCTAATCTGACCCCTTGGTACCTTTTAGTTTTCGCCGAAACTAAATGCACATAGTTAAGTTGACCTTGTCTTTCTAGGACTCTTTTGGTACTAAAGGTCCCCTGCCCCCCCTGACAACATAAACAAGGGTAGGTCTCTCCATCCCTCCCAGTGTACAACAAGTGTGGCAACAGAGGTTGAGTAACACTACATTTACACTGCGAGAGCCACCTTAAAAAGCACAGTGTTATTGAGAGGTCACATTGTATACACACACCGTACATTCACATGTCAGGAAGACGCTTGTGACACATCATGAATACCTCTTTGTTTCAGCAGTACACTTTAGATATGTTCGGCATAAGGAAGGAGAAAACTAAATAAGCATTGACATAAATGACTCAAAACCCACTTCTTCAGACTAGCCATTTCCTTTTAAACGCCATTCCCCACATCATTACTCTGCCATCATTACATTACATTTCATTTAACGCTTTTGTCCAAAGCGACTTACAATAAGTGCATTCAACCAGGAGGGAACAGAGTAACAAGAATCATGTAGGTACATTAGTTTGAACTATGCCAAACCATTCGAAGTGCTACTACATTAGCTTCAACTACGCCATCATAACGCTCTCTTCTGTATTGCTTTTATTTGTCATGTTTCTGATTTAGTTATCTTTGTTTGTAGTGAGAATTGTATTTTTGTAAAACGACTAGAAGTTAGAAAAGTACTATCATTATTATTAAGAGGCCCTTTCTCAGTTTAAAAACAAATCATTAATGAATTCTTCCTGCAGACACAAAACACTTGTGACGCATCATGAATAGCTCTTTGTTTCAGCAGTACACGTTTTAGATATAGGGAAGGAGAAAACTAAATAAGCCTTGAAATATTTAAAACAAGCACAAAACCCACTTCTTCGGACTAGTCTTCCTCCCATCATTACTCCGCCATCATAACGCTCTCTTGTCTGTATTTCTTACCTTTGTAATGTTTCTAATTTCATTGATTTTATCTTTGTTTGTTGTGTGAATTGCATTTTTGTAGATCGACTTTGTGAACTTACTTATAAATGAAAAGTACTACTATTATTATTGTTATTAAGAGACCCTTTTTCAGTTGAAAAACAAATCATTAATGTGGTCTTCCTGCAGACTCTGAAGGCAGGGTGGTGTGTGTGGAGAGTCTGGAGGAAGCCGAGTGTCTCCTCTTTGATCGTTCCTCCCGAGGAATGCTACGCCCGGCCGCTGCTCCTCAAACACCATCCTGGAGGAGAGCACTCAGTGAGGAGCTCATAAAACTGAGACATCCTCCACCATGACTCAGACAGCCCAAAACCATTATATTCATGACTAAATATATCAGGAACATTACTCGTGATGGACCAACAAGCACAACAATACGTGCTCAAAGTGTGAAGATGATGGAACTATTCATGTTGGGGTTTGGCTACCTTGAGAAATGTAGATTATTGATAATAATATCCTACTTTTAAACGTTGTTACCTGTAACTTGGTCCTTCATAGGGTGTATATGATAGATAGCCTACAGATAGAGATAGATACAGACTTTCAATGTCATCATATATATATTTAACATTGTAGTTCCATTATATTTTCTATTTGAAGGGGTTTCAGCCTTGTTTAAACAAGCTGCTGTGACGGAAAATGTTCCCAAAGATCTTATCCAAAGGGTCTTGCAATAAAGGCAATCAAGAAAAACAAGAAACCTGCAAGTCCATTCACTTTCATACATCTTTTTTTAGTGTTCAGTTTGTAACGTAAGGTGTTTTGACTTTCTTCTCTCCTAAATCAATGGAGTAAAAGGATGCGTCTAATTTTTATTAAATGTATTGAGATTAAAAACGCACATGTGTGCTCTCTTGATGTTTAAGGAGGAAACTTATCTCAAGATTAGGTTTGAGAATTGAATATATTTTACAAGATGTTCAAACATATTAAAAGCTCTGCAGTATGAAAACAATATCCAGATTTAGATTTAAGATACAAGTGGATGTTAATAATTCTTTTTTAAAACATTTTGTCCAACAGATTTCAATTAAAATCCAGACAAATAATAAAACACTGCTGGCTATTATTGGTCTGATCAAAGGCCATTTCCACAAAATAACCTCAACCTGAGTGCAGGTACTCCTGACTGAACATATTATACCCTCAGGCATTTTGAAGTATTTGCACAGTGACAATGTTTGTTACTTAGTGGGGGGGGGGCTACGGTGGGTCCTGTGCTGTGGGTGGGGGACGATAAAAGAGAAGGAGAACCTGGGACTCTCCACAATTTAGATTTAGGAGAGACACGAGACAACCCGGACAACAAGATGCTCGGGACTGCTGCTCCATTGCTGCTTCTTTTGTCAGGTAGGTCATTCAGAATATCAGTAACATCATTCCTTTTGTTGTTTTAATAACAAAGATTTTACAATTCAAGCCAGAAGTATGAAAGTGTCCTTTGCATTTCGTGTCATTGTAGGTTAGGGTTTCTTACTCCTTAGTCCTGCATTTAATATGACATGTTATACAGTATGCAACTATGTGTTCTTAAAGTACCAAAGTACTTATTTCACACAACAGGCCATTTCATAACAATATGTAATAAAATGGCGTAATATATAGATTTTTGTATAAATGCGCTTATATTGATGACCATAGAGTGCCGCAGTGACACGTCCTAAAACCCGGAAGTAAACTCCTTCCGGTTCCTTCGACAAAAACGCAATGCAATTTCTCCATAGGATTTTGGAAAATAGCTCGAAATAAGGTCTGTGGTTGACACACATTTATTAAGAGACGGATCACGTTTTGTTCAGCCGGATAATCTCCACATGTCTATCCTACTTTTATAATTTTCTAATCATAAATCTAGTCGCCAGAAGCAAAATGCTAACGTTATGCTATAAACGAACTACAGCAGGGTCGCTGCTTCAACGTCACGCCAACTTAAGATCCATATTCAAACATACAGATTCTAAATGGTACGAGTTGAAGCGTTTGTCTTAACAGTTTGCAGGAGGCAGCTACTTGCTTTCAAGCAGAACACGGCAAACAAACTTAGAGGAGTGTTTACGTGTTCGGCGTAATTACGTAAAACTGCCTCGACAACTTCTGTAGTCCTATTCAGCCACTTGGTAACAACCATCGTTTTTCAGACACGTAGACTCTTCAGAAATCCCCAGTGGGGTCACTGCTGATGGATTTAATGTCGTAGAACAAAACGTGATCCGTCTCTTCGATGTGTTTCAACCACAGACATTATTTGGAGCTATTTTCCAAAACCCTATGGAGAGATCCCATTGCTTTTTGGCGAAGGAACCGGACGTGGTAAAAATGCTAATTTACTTCCGGGTTTTAGGATGCGTCACTGAGGCACTCTATATAAGCCGGAAGTATGACAGTGTTAAATCATTCAAAAATATAATATGGAATAAAATAAGTGTATTTTCACAAACACAAGACATTTTTTCTGATGTTTTAATGTTTTGTCAAGCACTTTGTGACTTTGTCTGTGAAAAGCGCTTTATAAATAAATGTTACTTACTTACTTAAGTAAAGTGTCCAATACAATATTAAATTAAATTAAATAATTTATATAAAAAGTTGTTATTACAGTAAGTAAAACTATATTTCTCTGAACATAAGAATTTAAAGCAAAGTTTCCACATAACATTTTTTTAAGTATTTATATAAAATATTTAGTAAAAAAGTGCAATACAACTAATACAATGATAAAGATGAGTATGTAAACATAAGGAGTTAAAGTACAATGTCCAATAAAAGTAATAAGTCTATATATAATAAGTAAAATAAATGTTTTTATATTAACATAAGCAGTTAAAGTAAGAATATGCAATGAAAACATTAAGCAAAATAAAAGCCATCTAAGAAATTGAGGCAAAATGTCCCAAAAACATGTAAAGAAAAAAAAACACAAGACAGTAAATATATCTTGTGTCATCAGGTATGTGTGCAGGCGAGGGCATCTTACCCCCGGGGCCCCTGAGTGGAGCCGCTGCCGGCACTGTGACGTTCTCCACGACCCTCACCGCTCCAGAGAGCCCCTTCCTCTCCGTCAGCTGGAGCTTCAAAGGGGTGAACATCATCACCTCCACCAGCACCAACATCACAGAGCCGGGCTACAGCAGCAGGATCTCCCTGGACCGAGCCACCGGGGCCCTGGAGCTGCGGGGCCTGCTGCTGGAGGACAGCGGGGAGTACACCGTGACCATCATCCCCGACGCAGGGCTGCAGAGGCAGGGGGAGACCACGCTCAACGTGTATGGTGGGTTTCAAGTTTCAAGGCTTTAATTGTCATGTGTGCACAGTGTAGTTATGACAATGAAAATCTTAGGTCACAGGCTCCTCCAACAATAAAACAGATACAATAGTACAGGTAAATAAAATATAATATAATAGAAACAGTGCAGAATAATCTATATACAGTCATTGGAATTATATGAGTTGCAAACAGATGAACGTTATGATGTTCTTTCAAAAGTTCAGGTGTTTAATCATTTTATGATCTGTATCTAACGGAAATTTGGACAAATGATGGATGACAGTGCAGGAGGTCAGGTGGTAGCATGGTGCAACTAATAAGTCAAGGGAAATCAAAACAGGAGGAAAACACAAAGAAATCATGACACAGGTTTCTAAATAAAACATGAAATAAATGAACTAAAAACTATCATGAAGAAAATGTGTGTTTTCTTATTCCTGAATCTTACTTGCACCGTTGTGTCTCTTGTTATTTGTATTTCTTTATATATTAAGAGGTGCTCTATTTTTGCTTGTTGGGGTCTCCCCTTTCCTGTAGTGTGTAATATAGGTTTCTGTGTAAATAGTCTGCAACGGTTAATATCCCAAACTTCCCTCACACTTGCACTTCTATTGGCTAGCGCTCCGACACATTGTATGTGATGATAGGCTAAGGGGCGGAACATCTCTAAGTGGTTAACCAATCACAACAGAGCCGGCCAGCTAACCAATCAGAGCAGACTGGGCTCTGGTTTCAGACAGAGGGTGAAAAGAGGTGCTGCGGCACAGGCAGTATGAGAGAAATAAAGAGCTTTTTGAACATTAGAGCATGGAAACATTTCCCAGTAGACACTAAATACAGATATGAACCTGAAAATGAGTTTAATATGTCCTATTTAACTCTCTTCATGCCCCGTCAGCTCTGATCACCGGAGCCTCCATCAGCAGCCCGCCAGGCGTCCTGATCGAGGACCGCAGCTTCACTAACCTCAGCTGCGATGCGTCCGGCTCCATCAGCAGCAGAGAGTGGCTGAAGGACGGTCAGATGCTGCAGCCGGGGGACAGAGTCAGCTTCTCCAACTCCAAGAGGACGGTGTTCATTCACCCGGTGCACAGCTCACACCACGGCAGCTTCCAGTGCCGAGTCAGCAACCCCGTCAGCAGCATGACGGTGGAGCACCGACTCACCGTCAACTGTGAGTAGGCTACTGCTGCGGAAACTCTGTGGAGCAAAAAAAAGACCATGAAGAGTCATTTCAAAGTGACTGTTTCATGTATTTGATGAAATATTTTAGAAATGATCTCTTAATTCTTGCAATTATTATTCTTAGTTAAAGGTGGGGTAGGTAAGTTTGAGAAACCGGCTCGAGATACACTTGTTGTTATATTCCATGGAATGCTCTTAACATCCCGATAGCAATGAATATCTTAAGTGCTTTGACAAAAAATCCATAAAGAAATGTCATCTGTGGAAGCCGTGGCACTGTAAAAAGCACGACCAATCATCTGAGCCGGCCCGGCTAAAGTAACTGGATGGCCTACCTGCCTGTCAGCCTTCCATCTGTGCACAAACTTATCTCGTGCCCTCATTGGTCATGCGCGCGTTCGTGTGTGTTGGAGGAGGGGCTCTGTAAGGAAGTGGCAGATTTTTTCCGGTTGTGTATTTTCTAATTCTTAATAAAAAAACAATTGTATTTTGAGTGCTGGGATGTAAGTACATTTGAGTGAGTACAGACTTTATATTTGATCTTTACTCAATTAAAGAAGAACTATTTGTTTGTTCTTATTTACAAGTTAAGATTTTTTGACAAAAAACATGAAAAACACCTAAAAACAATCCAGCTTCTCAGATGTAAGGATTTCCTGCTTTTTCTGTTGACTTTTTCAATAAATATAATAAATGTTTTAATATGTTTGTACTGAAACCCAGCATTGGAAGGGTGTCAACTTTGATTCTGGATAATTGTGACTGTCATTTCATATGATTTATTTTACAAATCAAGAAAATAATCAACAGAATCATTTATACATTTTACATGAATGCATGAGTAAAGTAGTCTATAATGCATCATTGTAAAACAGTCATAGAGTAACTTTACTTTGGCTTTACATTTTGCAAATGATAACTTAAGTAAGATTTGAACTGCAGGACTGAAACTTGTAAGCGGTGCTACAGTGTTGTTTGAGTACTTTTGCCTAAATGAAGGATCTGGCTCCTCTGTGCAGATGGACCCCATAACGTATCAATAACAGGACCCTCAGCAGCAGCTCCGGGTCAGAGAGTTACCCTTCAGTGTGAAGCAGACTCCGTCCCTCCTGCGACCTTCAGCTGGAGGTTCAACGGCAACGAGACGCAGGTGAACACGTCCACCTTCACCATCGAGAGGCTGCAGGTGGAGAACTTAGGGAACTACAGCTGCACCGCCTCCAATATGGTGACCATGCTGCAGAACTCCACAGTCCAGCATCTCAGAGGTGAGATTCTGCCTTATTGTCAATTTTAATAAGGACACTTTATTTCAAGAGGTGATTATAAGTGTTGTTTGTTTTCTCTTCATGAAGCATCCTGCACTGCTCCCTGCTGGTCGTTTTTACTGCTGCTGATCAGTGCACTGTCTCTGAGAGAGTTACTGTAACAGGAGCAGGTGAGAGAACATTGCAATACATCTCATTTCCGTTCACATTTAAAAATCATTTTATTATTCCCTCCTACTGTGATATTAACATACATGTCTTCATATTTGTTCCTCAGATTCTGACTTCACTCATGCAATTTACTATAACTGAATGAATAAGTTAAAATGTGGTGTACTGGATACATTACATTACATGTCACTTGTTAGACGCTTTTATCCAAAGCGACTTACATACTCAATACTGTGGGCAATCCCCACAGGAGCAATTTGGGGTGAAGTGTCTCAGGGACACAACGACATGCTGACTGCAGTGGGGTTTGAACCTGTGACCCCCTGAGCCCACCAACGCACAACCCACACGCCTCCTTGGCGGATACTGTAATGTTGTTTTGTCTCGAGTGTAATGCGCCAGCTTGGCCTCCCTGACAGAGATTTTAATTAAATTGACTTTTTGAAATATAAAAGAATAAAATGTTCATGATCATCTGGTTCAACAAATCATAGCACCCCGATAACTTGACCTGCAGAAATAATCAATGGTTACTGTTGTTAATTGACAAAGATATTTATGTCAAAATATAAACTTAATTACTTTACTTTATATAAAGGCAAGTAGGATTCATTTTTGAACAAGATAAGCCTTTATTTCTTATTGTTATACAAGCCTGATCATGAGAAACCTTTAAAGGTGGGGTATGTAATTTATTTCAGAAACACTTTTTGTTATATTCCATGGAATGCTCTTAACATCCCGATAGCAATGAATATATTAAATGCTTTGACAATAAATACATAAAAAGATGTCATCAGTGGAAGCCGTAGTGCTGTAAAAAGCACGACCAATCATCTGAGCCGGCCCGGCTAAAGTAACTGGATGGCCTACCTGCCTGTCAGCCTTCCATCTGGGCACAAACTTATCTCGTGCCCTCATTGGTCATGTGCACGTTCGTGTGTTGGAGGAGGGGCTCTGTAAGGAAGTCTGAAGGAAGGGGCAGATTTTTTCCGGCTGCGTACTTTCAAATTCTAGCGCACTCGAGCTGGTTTCTCCATTCTTACCTACGCTACCTTTAATATGTGTTTTTTTCTACTTCTTAACATAAAACGCAACATGCATTTAGTCATATTTGTGACACTTCTCCACCCCCTGTCTTTCTAAAGAAGCTGCTGTGTTAAATAAAGCTTACAATTTTCCCGTTATGGGTTACAAAAGTTCAACAGCATTGCTTCACAGCTACAAACATTATGAATCATCCTGACCAAGATTATAATTAGAGCCTGAGAAGTCCTTAAAGTAGAAATATCAGTGTCAGAGTTTGTGTATTTAAAAAGGTCTGGGAGGAAATGTGTTTGCATGTTAGTCATTTTTTTTCTTGGTATATTTTAAACTGTATGAAGAACATCCAAAATAATGTGTATTTAAATGAATGATTTGCCTAGTAATATTGTAATGATCTTGCTGAAGGAATGACTGTACATTTACAAGATGCAACAAATCTAAAGTCTAATTTCTGCCAAATATCTGTCCTCTCTGTTTACGGCAGGAAATAAATTAAAACGTTTGAAATGTTTCACGGCCTGTTAAGGAATTGAGTCTATCGAAAGGAATTATTGGGGGTAACTCACCCCGAATAACTTTGGCATTTTAACAGCTGCCTACACTTCAGATCCAAATCAAGTGTTCCTCTACTATGAAGCTGTGAAAATACGCATAACCAGAAATACGTGTTGCAAAAGTTTTGCAAAATGTGACGCAAAGGCTTTTTTTGTCGTGCTTGCATAATGACCGCCTTAAAGAGGCCCCATTATGCATTTTGACGGTTTGCCTTTCCTTTAGTGTGTTTGTGGTGGGAGTTTATTTATCAAATGTGGATAGAGAATCAAACCATTCAGCTGTCTTTGTCGTATTTTATTTCTTGCAAGAAAGTTCAGGTAGTCATACAGAGAGCATGCAGAGTGAAAGACGAAGAGTAGAGTTTGGGTTTCATATTTAGACACAGAGAGAGGAGAAAGGGAGGCGTGAAGCTTGGTGATAATGAAAGGAGGAGTTAGGGAGTTAGGGCAGTGTTTTTCAAAGTGGGGGGCCCGACCCCCCGGGGGCCCGCCATGGGGGTCACGCAAAGTTTGAGGGAAAGGGGAATTTTTTTTTAGATGTTATTAATAACTGCATATCTATCAATCTATGTGTCCTTTGATGCCAATCTTTTAATATTTTTTGTTTTTAAATCTCACGACTGCCCTTCAAGCCAATCAGAATCGAGCTGCCGCTACTGAGATTGAAACTGAGCATCTGCTCAGCTTTTGGAGCAAGTGAGAGCTAGTGAATATTTTGCTCTGCAGCTGGATGAGAGCACGGATGTAGCAAATGTTGCAGAATTGCTTGCATACATCAGATTTATTTCAAAAGACAACTTTGTTGAGGATATATTATTTTGCAAAGCACTGGAAGGTAGGACCACATGAAGAGACATTTTCCAAGTTTTAGATGAGTACATCTGCTCAAATGGACTTGACTGGTCTCGTTGTGTGGGTGTGTGTTCAGATGGGGCAGTGGGGATATATGACAGGCAACCGGACGTGGTAAAAATGCTAACTTACTTCCGGGTTTTAGGATGCGTCACTGAGGCACTCTATATAAGCCGGAAGTATGACAGTGTTAAATCATTCAAAAATATAATATGGAATAAAATAAGTGTATTTTCACAAACACAAGACATTTTTTCTGATGTTTTAATGTTTTGTCAAGCACTTTGTGACTTTGTCTGTGAAAAGCGCTTTATAAATAAATGTTACTTACTTACTTAAGTAAAGTGTCCAATAAAATATTAAATTAAATTAAATAATTTATATAAAAAGTTGTTATTACAGTAAGTAAAACTATATTTCTCTGAACATAAGAATTTAAAGCAAAGTTTCCACATAACATTTTTTTAAGTATTTATATAAAATATTTAGTAAAAAAGTGCAATACAACTAATACAATGATAAAGATGAGTATGTAAACATAAGGAGTTAAAGTACAATGTCCAATAAAAGTAATAAGTCTATATATAATAAGTAAAATAAATGCTTTTATATTAACATAAGCAGTTAAAGTAAGAATATGCAATGAAAACATTAAGCAAAATAAAAGACATCTCAGAAATTGAGGCAAAATGTCCCAAAAACATGTAAAGAAAAAAAAACACAAGACAGTAAATATATCTTGTGTCATCAGGTATGTGTGCAGGCGAGGGCATCTTACCCCCGGGGCCCCTGAGTGGAGCTGCTGCCGGCACTGTGACGTTCTCCACGACCCTCACCGCTCCAGAGAGCCCCTTCCTCTCCGTCAGCTGGAGCTTCAAAGGGGTGAACATCATCACCTCCACCAGCACCAACATCACAGAGCCGGGCTACAGCAGCAGGATCTCCCTGGACCGAGCCACCGGGGCCCTGGAGCTGCGGGGCCTGCTGCTGGAGGACAGCGGGGAGTACACCGTAACCATCATCCCCGACGCAGGGCTGCAGAGGCAGGGGGAGACCACGCTCAACGTGTATGGTGGGTTTCAAGTTTCAAGGCTTTAATTGTCATGTGTGCACAGTGTAGTTATGACAATGAAAATCTTAGGTCACAGGCTCCTCCAACAATAAAACAGATACAATAGTACAGGTAAATAAAATATAATATAATAGAAACAGTGCAGAATAATCTATATACAGTCATTGGAATTATATGAGTTGCAAACAGATGAACGTTATGATGTTCTTTCAAAAGTTCAGGTGTTTAATCATTTTATGATCTGTATCTAACGGAAATTTGGACAAAGGATGGATGACAGTGCAGGAGGTCAGGTGGTAGCATGGTGCAACTAATAAGTCAAGGGAAAACAAAACAGGAGGAAAACACAAAGAAATCATGACACAGGTTTCTAAATAAAACATGAAATAAATGAACTAAAAACTATCATGAAGAAAATGTGTGTTTTCTTATTCCTGAATCTTACTTGCACCGTTGTGTCTCTTGTTATTTGTATTTCTTTATATATTAAGAGGTGCTCTATTTTTGCTTGTTGGGGTCTCCCCTTTCCTGTAGTGTGTAATATAGGTTTCTGTGTAAATAGTCTGCAAAGGTTAATATCCCAAACTTCCCTCACACTTGCACTTCTATTGGCTAGCGCTCCGACACATTGTATGTGATGATAGGCTAAGGGGCGGAACATCTCTAAGTGGTTAACCAATCACAACAGAGCCGGCCAGCTAACCAATCAGAGCAGACTGGGCTCTGGTTTCAGACAGAGGGTGAAAAGAGGTGCTGCGGCACAGGCAGTATGAGAAAAATAAAGAGCTTTTTGAACATTAGAGCATGGAAACATTTCCCAGTAGACACTAAATACAGATATGAACCTGAAAATGAGCTTAATATGTCCTATTTAACTCTCTTCATGCCCCGTCAGCTCTGATCACCGGAGCCTCCATCAGCAGCCCGCCAGGCGTCCTGATCGAGGACCGCAGCTTCACTAACCTCAGCTGCGATGCGTCCGGCTCCATCAGCAGCAGAGAGTGGCTGAAGGACGGTCAGATGCTGCAGCCGGGGGACAGAGTCAGCTTCTCCAACTCCAAGAGGACGGTGTTCATTCACCCGGTGCACAGCTCACACCACGGCAGCTTCCAGTGCCGAGTCAGCAACCCCGTCAGCAGCATGACGGTGGAGCACCGACTCACCGTCAACTGTGAGTAGGCTACTGCTGCGGAAACTCTGTGGAGCAAAAAAAAGACCATGAAGAGTCATTTCAAAGTGACTGTTTCATGTATTTGATGAAATATTTTTGAAATGATCTCTTAATTCTTGCAATTATTATTCTTAGTTAAAGGTAGGGTATGTAAGTTTGAGAAACCGGCTCGAGATACACTTGTTGTTATATTCCATGGAATGCTCTTAACATCCCGATAGCAATGAATATCTGAAGTGCTTTGACAAAAAATCCATTAAAAAAGGTCATCAGTGGAAGCCGTGGCGCTGTAAAAAGCACGACCAATCATCTGAGCCGGCCCGGCTAAAGTAACTGGATGGCCTACCTGCCTGTCAGCCTTCCATCTGTGCACAAACTTATCTCGTGCCCTCATTGGTCATGCGCGAGTTCGTGTGTGTTGGAGGAGGGGCTCTGTGAGGAAGTGGCAGATTTTTTCCGGTTGTGTATTTTCTAATTCTTAATAAAAAAACAATTGTATTTTGAGTGCTGGGATGTAAGTACATTTGAGTGAGTACAGACTTTATATTTGATCTTTACTCAATTAAAGAAGAACTATTTGTTTGTTCTTATTTACAAGCTTTAGTTAGTTAAGATTTTTTGACAAAAAACATGAAAAACACCTAAAAACAATCCAGCTTCTCAGATGTAAGGATTTCCTGCTTTTTCTGTTGACTTTTTCAATAAATATAATAAATGTTTTAATATGTTTGTGCTGAAACCCAGCATTGGAAGGGTGTCAACTTTGATTCTGGATAATTGTGACTGTCATTTCATATGATTTATTTTACAAATCAAGAAAATAATCAACAGAATCATTTATACATTTTACATGAATGCATGAGTAAAGTAGTCTATAATGCATCATTGTAAAACAGTCATAGAGTAACTTTACTTTGGCTTTACATTTTGCAAATGATAACTTAAGTAAGATTTGAACTGCAGGACTGAAACTTGTAAGCGGTGCTACAGTGTTGTTTGAGTACTTTTGCCTAAATGAAGGATCTGGCTCCTCTGTGCAGATGGACCCCATAACGTATCAATAACAGGACCCTCAGCAGCAGCTCCGGGTCAGAGAGTTACCCTTCAGTGTGAAGCAGACTCCGTCCCTCCTGCGACCTTCAGCTGGAGGTTCAACGGCAACGAGACGCAGGTGAACACGTCCACCTACACCATCGAGAGGCTGCAGGTGGAGAACTTAGGGAACTACAGCTGCACCGCCTCCAATATGGTGACCATGCTGCAGAACTCCACAGTCCTGCATCTCAGAGGTGAGATTCTGCCTTATTGTCAATTTTAATAAGGACACTTTATTTCAAGAGGTGATTATAAGTGTTGTTTGTTTTCTCTTCATGAAGCATCCTGCACTGCTCCCTGCTGGTCGTTTTTACTGCTGCTGATCAGTGCACTGTCTCTGAGAGAGTTACTGTAACAGGAGCAGGTGAGAGAACATTGCAATACATCTCATTTCCGTTCACATTTAAAAATCATTTTATTATTCCCTCCTACTGTGATATTAACATACATGTCTTCATATTTGTTCCTCAGATTCTGACTTCACTCATGCAATTTACTATAACTGAATGAATAAGTTAAAATGTGGTGTACTGGATACATTACATTACATGTCACTTGTTAGACGCTTTTATCCAAAGCGACTTACATACTCAATACTGTGGGCAATCCCCACAGGAGCAATTTGGGGTGAAGTGTCTCAGGGACACAACGACATGCTGACTGCAGTGGGGTTTGAACCTGTGACCCCCTGACCCCAACAACGCACAACCCACACGCCTCCTTGGCGGATACTAATATGTAATGTTGTTTTGTCTCGAGAGTGTAATGCGCCAGCTTGGCCTCCCTGACAGAGATTTTAATTAAATTGACTTTTTGAAATATAAAAGAATAAAATGTTCATGATCTTCTGGTTCAACAAATCATAGCACCACGATAACTTGACCTGCAGAAATAATCAATGGTTACTGTTGTTAATTGACAAAGATATTTATGTCAAAATATAAACTTAATTACTTTACTTTATATAAAGGCAAGTAGGATTCATTTTTGAACAAGATAAGCCTTTATTTCTTATTGTTATACAAGCCTGATCATGAGAAACCTTTAAAGGTGGGGTATGTAATTTATTTCAGAAACACTTTTTGTTATATTCCATGGAATGCTCTTAACATCCCGATACAATGACTATATTAAATGCTTTGACAATAAATACATAAAAAGATGTCATCTGTGGAAGCCGCGTAGTGCTGTAAAAAGCACGACCAATCATCTGAGCCGGCCCGGCTAAAGTAACTGGATGGCCTACCTGCCTGTCAGCCTTCCATCTGGGCACAAACTTATCTCGTGCCCTGATTGGTCATGTGCTCGTTCGTGTGTTGGAGGAGGGGCTCTGTAAGGAAGTCTGAAGGAAGGGGCAGATTTTTTCCGGCTGCGTACTTTCAAATTCTAGCGCACTCGAGCTGGTTTCTCCATTCTTACCTACGCTACCTTTAATATGTGTTTTTTCTACTTCTTAACATAAAACGCAACATGCATTTAGTCATATTTGTGACACTTCTCCACCCCCTGTCTTTCTAAAGAAGCTGCTGTGTTAAATAAAGCTTACAATTTTCCCGTTATGGGTTACAAAAGTTCAACAGCATTGCTTCACAGCTACAAACATTATGAATCATCCTGACCAAGATTATAATTAGAGCCTGAGAAGTCCTTAAAGTAGAAATATCAGTGTCAGAGTTTGTGTATTTAAAAAGGTCTGGGAGGAAATGTGTTTGCATGTTAGTCATTTTTTTTCTTGGTATATTTTAAACTGTATGAAGAACATCCAAAATAATGTGTATTTAAATGAATGATTTGCCTAGTAATATTGTAATGATCTTGCTGAAGGAATGACTGTACATTTACAAGATGCAACAAATCTAAAGTCTAATTTCTGCCAAATATCTGTCCTCTCTGTTTACGGCAGGAAATAAATTAAAACGTTTGAAATGTTTCACGGCCTGTTAAGGAATTGAGTCTATCGAAAGGAATTATTGGGGGTAACTCACCCCGAATAACTTTGGCATTTTAACAGCTGCCTACACTTCAGATCCAAATCAAGTGTTCCTCTACTATGAAGCTGTGAAAATACGCATAACCAGAAATACGTGTTGCAAACGTTTTGCAAAATGTGACGCAAAGGCTTTTTTGTCGTGCTTGCATAATGACCGCCTTAAAGAGGCCCCATTATGCATTTTGACGGTTTGCCTTTCCTTTAGTGTGTTTGTGGTGGGAGTTTATTTATCAAATGTGGATAGAGAATCAAACCATTCAGCTGTCTTTGTCGTATTTTATTTCTTGCAAGAAAGTTCAGGTAGTCATACAGAGAGCATGCAGAGTGAAAGACGAAGAGTAGAGTTTGGGTTTCATATTTAGACACAGAGAGAGGAGAAAGGGAGGCGTGAAGCTTGGTGATAATGAAAGGAGGAGTTAGGGAGTTAGGGCAGTGTTTTTCAAAGTGGGGGGCCCGACCCCCCGGGGGCCCGCCATGGGGGTCACGCAAAGTTTGAGGGAAAGGGGAATTTTTTTTTAGATGTTATTAATAACTGCATATCTATCAATCTATGTGTCCTTTGATGCCAATCTTTTAATATTTTTTGTTTTTAAATCTCACGACTGCCCTTCAAGCCAATCAGAATCGAGCTGCCGCTACTGAGATTGAAACTGAGCATCTGCTCAGCTTTTGGAGCAAGTGAGAGCTAGTGAATATTTTGCTCTGCAGCTGGATGAGAGCACGGATGTAGCAAATGTTGCAGAATTGCTTGCATACATCAGATTTATTTCAAAAGACAACTTTGTTGAGGATATATTATTTTGCAAAGCACTGGAAGGTAGGACCACATGAAGAGACATTTTCCAAGTTTTAGATGAGTACATCTGCTCAAATGGACTTGACTGGTCTCGTTGTGTGGGTGTGTGTCCAGATGGGGCAGTGGGGATATATGACAGGCAAAACAAGCGGAGTGACAGCTTTGATCAGGCAGAAGGCCCCAAATGTAGTGGCAACGCACTGCATGCTCCATCGCGAGGCACTTGTACACATCATTTAAACAAAACAAAAATTGCAACGGGGGGTCCCCGCCAGAGGATAATGCTATATGGGGGTCCTTGGCATGGCAACGTTTGGGAACCCTGCCCTGAGTTAGGGAGTTAGGGAGTGTGGGAGTATCAGGAACTTCTCAGTTCAATAGAAGTTGAAGGTCATAATGTTGGTGCACATAGACTGTAACTAGAGAGGAGAGGAGAAAGGGAGGGATGATTAGGGAGTTAGGGAGTTAGCAAGGACATATCAGGAAGTTCTCAGTTCACCCGAGTTGAAGGTCATACTGTTGGTGCACATAGACTGTAACTAGAGAGGAGAAAGGGAGGGGTGAGTAGGGAGTTAGCGAGGACATATCAGGAAGTTCTCAGTTCACCCGAGTTGAAGGTCATACTGTTGGTGCACATAGACTGTAACTAACATTCTTCTTAATAAGGAATTTTCCCAAGCTTACCTGAGAAGTGTGAGAAGTAGTAAATATAGATAAACATTAGCAAATATAAGAATCACACAATGATATTATTAAAGTAAGTGAGTGAGTATAATATGTTTCTATTAAAGTGTTATACAGGGTTTTGTGCATGTAAATGGTCTGCAAATGCTAAAATCCCGAAGTTCACTCCAGAGAGAGATCTTTCCCTGAAAATGAACATAATAAATCCACTTTAAAGGAGACCTATTATGCAAAATCCACGTGTTCATGTCTCTTCTACATCAACATGTGTCCCCTCTGCGTAAAGAGATTCTGAAAGTAACCCCCCCCCCCCCACCTTATCACCTAAATCTCCTCCTAGAGCACCATTGTGTTCTTTGTAACACAATCTCTCAGAGGGGCGTGGGGAGGGGCTCCTTATTTTTCATCTAAAGTAACAGACAGAGAATCAGCACTTTGGAAACAAGGCTGAAACAGAGGGGATTATGGGTAATGCTGCAATGATCTGTTTGGTGTTTGGAGCTAAACACTTCAGAGACATGTTTTGTATATATCTGAGAGCTATAATATATTGATGAAAAACAGTATAATAGGGGACTGTTACGTGCTTGTGTTGCTTTTCTCTGTCTCTCTGCTGCGCAGGTACACCTGGTCCGCCCCTGGCTCCGCCTCCCCCAGGTGTCCTAATGACATTCAGCTGGGGACTTTAAAAGGAGAAGCTGGAGGAGAAGAGGCTCTCTTTTCCTGCCCTGATGCCGAGGGATTATATCCGTGGATTTCCTCTCACCCCACGTGTGGATCCATTATTCTTTTGCTGTCTTATACTGTGTGAACTCTGGAGGATGTTAGTGGCTTTGTTTTTTTCCCAGTAGGTTGTGTTAGATCTCTGGGTAGAGGAGGGAAGTATGGGTCCTACGGCCCATGGTGTGGCTGGCCCAGGCCCCCTTCTTCCTTTGTGTTTGTTTATTGCCGTCCTCCAGACTTGGTTCCTTTTTGCCGGTAGGCATGTAAGTTACGGCTGTGCTGACAATAAATGCCCGTCCTTAACGATATTCTGTGTTTGGCATGGTTTGTTTTTAAGTTACGGGTCTTCCCACGAGCCACTACCGCTTGGTAGGGGGACGGGTCGTAACTTATGGGGGCTCGTCCAAAGGCTGTCTCGGGCAGGTGCCGGTGTACTGAGAGTGTTTCTTTCTAGAACGGCCCTTGACAGCATATATGTTTGCTTTGTGTGTGCAGTGTAGGGTGGCTAGAATGATAGCCTAGCTGGTTTTGTTTTAGTTTTTTTCTTTGGAGTGAGTTTAGGTTGGATTTTGCGTTATGGAGTTTGATCTAGAGGGCTTTGCTAGTGGTCCGACTCGGGAGAAGTTGGAAGCCTCTAGTAAAGCCCAACTAGAGCTAATCGCAGGCAGATTTGACGTTGCAATTAGTAAACAATACAAGAAGCAGGTCATTAAGGAACAGCTGTTGGCTGCACTGATAGAGCGGGAAGTGTTATCAGAGGAAGCGGGCGCGGCTTGTGTATCTAAATACGAGGAAACAGAGGTCGCTCCGACAATGAGCGAGCTTCAGCTGGAGCTACGAAAGTTGATGATTAGAGAGAAGGAGATTGACAACAAACTGAGAGAGAAGGAGATCGACTGTAATCAGGAAACTAGAGGAGGAGTCTAATCGGATGCTTCGTTTGAAGGAGCTGGAGTTATCGACATTAACGCACCAAACTCAGCAGTTGGGCTCCGCACATCCTCATGAGTTTGATGTGGGTAAATACACCCGATTTGTTCCAGTATTCAGTGAGAGGGACGTGGATACTTTTTTAAATTATTTTTGAACGGTTTGCAACAACCTTGAAGTGGCCTAGGAATGTGTGGACTGTGATGCTGCAGTGCGTTCTCACGGGAAAAGCTCAGGAGGTATATGCTGCATTGTCTGACGAGGTCAGCCGGGATTATGGGCAGGTAAAAGCAGCAATTCTGCACGCCTATGAGCTGGTGCCAGAGGCCGGCGTATCGTCAGAGGTTTCGCAGTTTTAGAAAAAGGGATTCTCAAGTTTATGTGGAGTTCGCCCATGAGAAAGAGGGACTGTTTGATCGGTGGTGCTCGTCGACGGGGGTAAGATCTCTCGAGGAACTGAGAACGTTGATGCTCATGGAGGAATTTAAAAACTGTTTGCCTGACAGAGTAGCCACATATATAAATGAGCAAAAACCTATGAAACTATCTGATGCTGCGGTTTTGGCTGACGAGTATGTCCTCACTCACAAGTCTGTCTTCGGTGAGAGGGATAGCGCGCAGGCCCGGTATGGTGACAACAAGGTCAGGGAAAGCTCCACTAACGTGCCGTTACAGGGCAGCATGCCGAGAGCTGTGGAGGAAAAGGCGAGGGAGGTGAATTGGGGAACCAGAGATAGCCCAGTGTGTTATTTCTGCAAGAAAAGAGGTCATATTGTTGCGAATTGTTATGCTTTGTGGGATGAGGAGAAGCCTGTAAAGACGGTCGCTTTGGTGAGTACTTCAAAGCCAGGGTCTCACAAATCTGAACTGGAAGTTTTTTCTCCGTTTCTCATGGAGGGAATGGTGTCTTTACCGGGGAAGAACAACAGGATTACAGTGACCATTTTGAGGGATACAGCAGCTTCGCAATCCTTTATGATAAGGGGTGTGTTGCCCCTCTCTGAGGAGTCTGCTGTGGGTTCGG